TGATGTTACTGTAGCTCAGTTGTGAGGCCTGCAAGCAGTAGTCGTAGTGCCACCAAAAACAAGCTTTCCCACTCCTCATTTCTGGGTTGCTCCTAATTTTTTTTCAGGTCTTTTCTCCAGGGGATATTTTCTGAAATGCCTACCTATAGGTGGAAGCGATAAAAGAAAAGACGATGAACAAAGTGACTAGAGCTGCAAGTGCCCTACTGCTACCGTGTTTGCGTGGTTGTGGTTTGGCTGGGATCACAGACTCCTGCAGCCTCAAACAAGTACGTATGTTTCTGGGGCAAGAGAAGCAAAAAAAAAAGTGAGCAATCAAATGGCTTTTAGGAGACAGGCCTATATGCACAGGGATTGGACAGTGACTAAAAACTTATGACTGTTACCCTAGGGGCTATGCAAACATAAGAATTGTGAATTCTTACCTGATTTACACTTTTTAAAAAAAAAACTTGCAGGACTGGCAAGTTAGGTGGCAAAGCAAAGCAATAAAGTTCTCTGGGAAATACACTCCCAAAGAGGGCAAACAAAACCGAATACAAGTGCCCCCTTAAACACAGGATTTGCATTTTCTTAGCAGAATAGACTCGCTGCCTTGACTCTCTGTGCTCTCACTGAAGTGGAGGTCATGGCTAGTGACAACTGGGAGCTGTTCCTGGAGGCTCTCTTGCCTTTTTAGGTTATGAGGGTCTCTGTGTGTTTAGGATAATATGATTGACGGCTCCACTCCGGCCCCAATTAGCACCCTATAATTTATTAGCTTCTGCTTTCAGATTATGCGCTAACTTCACAAATATTTCAACCACGGAAACAGCAGCTATCAAGTGTCTCTTTCCTGATCCAGCTCACTGGGCCTGCAGTTAAATACAAGGAGGGAGCTGTGCAGGTCTGTCAAGAGAGAATAATCATTTGTGTCTGTGTGCAACCGGGGCTGTCGTGGCTCTGTAGGACTCCACTTGTGGAAAAATACGAAATGTTCCACTGGATCAGGGATTAGGGCTTGGTTCCTACCACAGGGGTATGGTGCAGGATTGAGGACAATGTGCTGGCTCTTTCAGAGAGTGTGTGTTTGCCCAATTCTGTTTATCATACAAATACTGATGCTTCAGCTACAGGCAAACAAAAGCATCGGTGGGGAAGTTTGTGGCCCTCCTAATGCTCTTCCTTTGCTCCTCGTTGCTGCACCGCGGGGGCAGGCTGGCGAGTGCAGGGAGGAAGAGACTGGGCAGGCAGGAGAACAGAGAGGGGATGAGATACAGAGTCAGGGCTGGGGACAGAAGTCGAGAAGAAGTGAAGAAGTTGAAGGGGTGTGCTTGAACAAGAAGAGCTCCTTGCAGCGGTGCCCAAGCCAGGTGGGGCAGGAGGGAATGTGCCATGCAGCGGAGGAGACAGGGCACCCTCAGTAACATCCATTGTGGTCTTACACCTCTTAATGAGACAGCTCTCCTTGTTTTTAAGCCAAAGGGAGGTCCCTGTGCATGAGAGTGGGAGCCAGGGGCATCCAACCCTGCACCCCCACACCCCTGCACCCTCCGTGGGCTCCCCCAGCGCCTCCCCACGGAGAAGGCAGGGTCAGAAGGAGGGGGACACAGCACCCCGGTGCCTCTCCTTGGCAATTTGCGTGGTGCACATGATTCACAGATTATGCCTGGCTACGGAACCTGTAGAAGGGGCACTGCAAAAGTAACTAACTCCTGCAGTGTGACCGGAGAGGCACATGGACAGGGGGACTCTGCTAGCCTGAGCTGCTGGTCAGTACAGCCAGTTTAGAGAAGAGTCTAACCATGCTGGGAACTAAACTAGCAATTCAGTTCCCAAGGCTGTAGCCCCAAAGCTTGAGGGTTGACTGAAGTAAATCTTTTTCTTTTTTTCTTTTTCTTTTTCTTTTTCTTTTTCTTTTTCTTTTTCTTTTTCTTTTTCTTTTTCTCTTTTTCATTTTCTCTTTTTCTTTTTTTTTCTTTTTCTTTTTCCTTCTTTTTCTTTTTCATTTTCTCTTTTTCTTTCTCCCTTTTTTCTTTTCTTTTTCCTTTTTCTTCTACTTTTATCTTCTTTCATCTTTTCTTTTTCTTTTAATTGCCCCCTATTCCCATTTCCCTATGCAAAATTGCCTAGCCTACAAAATCAATGCCTCACTCGTCCAAATAATCACACTGCAAGTCCCTCTCCTTCCCCTGCTGCAACTGCTCCTCTGGGTGGCAGGCCAGGGAAGCCAGCCAGGACATCACAATCCCCCAGAGGAGCTGGCTCGCCCTTCTGTAATCAAAAGGGCATGTTAATTACAGCCCTTGCCCAGAAAAAGATGTACTGCCAGTCAGAGAACCCTGGTGCATCCAAAGCCACCAGCAGCATTTTCCTCCCTTCTAGGAAGGGACCAATCTTTAAGCTCTCACTAGAGCTTGTCATGAACCTAAATAGGACTTCAAAGGGAAGGCGAGAAGGACTGCAGTCCCTCCTGACTGAAGAAGGAGACAGGGCAGATACATTTCCCCAGCGACAGGCAGCACAAGGTCCAGGGGAGGCACAGGGGATTACTCAGGCTCTTTCACCCTCTCTCCTCCCCTCCTCCTCCTCCTCCTTCGCTGGGGGCTCCTATGGAAAACCTACTGAAAAAGGAGGTGGGAAGTAAGGAACGTCACCCTAAAGCTCGCCAACATTAGGCTGTAGGTTGCAGGGGCACATGTGTATGTGTCTAAAGAGGTCTGCGTGGCGTTCTTGCAACTGCAGCTGTACTGAATCAAAACACTCATTAAAATATAGTGCAAACTGCAACAACAAATATGATGTACCTTCCCTACTTCCATTCTTTCTTTGATAGATCACTGCTGACCTCAGAGTTCATTAAAATGGTATTCCTTAGCGCATTGCTAAGTTTCAGTTATTTTCAGAACGGGAAATAAATGTCTGTAGTGAATATGCCCAGAGCTCTGTCTGCAAACTCCTACAAACTGCTCTCACACGGCAGCAGGGGATGTTCTCCCCATGCCCTGCACTGCCCAGCTTCGCAGCACATCCCCTCCCTCTGCCTCCTTCCCGGGGGTCTGCCTTGAACGGGTCGGGAGCTGCGTCTGTTTGTCTGTCCCAGCCAGTGGAGTCTGTTTGTCAGGTGGCAGTGAGAGAGCCAGTGCTCGGAAAGGGGCACCGGCAGGATCGGCTCCTCCGGCTGCGGGAGCTGGGACTCACAGCCCTGCTCTGTCGGTGTGTGACAAACATGTGACAGAAAAGACATACGTAACGTAGAAGAAGGGTTTCTTTTGTATTTCCAGATTCCTTGCAAGCGTTCGTGATTAAGCAAGTAATAAAGTATGATGGGAAGAGGAAGAAAACAGGCTTGTGAAATGGCACCGGGGTTATTTGCACCGTTACTGCCCTGGGAGCCGTGGCTCCCGTCCTGCAAAGAGTCACCCCCGAGCTGTGGGGCAGGTGCTGCGAGCTGTCCCCCTGCGGTCGCAGTAACGCAGGGTGGGCAAACCTCTGCAAGGGTTAGCCAAAACAGGGCACCTGCTCCTTCAGATTGCAAGCCATCTGTAGCAGGAGTATTTTAAAAAAGTTGCTCACGCAACTTCTAACACCTTGAGCCACAATCTTGACTTCGGTGTTTGGATGCTTTCAAAATACAACAATAAAAAAAAAAGTACCTGCAGAACAAATGTTGATACCAATATTCACGTGCTCATTGCATAAATTCTCACGCTTGAAAATATTCACAGTCAAAATGAATTGTAAATGCCAGTGAAGTAAATGACTGTTTTCTGCTTACATGAATATTTCCAAACATATTTGCACTGTATTGCTGAGCCCTCCTCATTATGAATTGCAGAGGAGAGAAGGCAACAAGTAAAGAAAAACAATTGTGGTGAAACACAAACAATGCTAGAGCCAGATTAGTCTTTTGTTTTTTAAAAAAACCACACTTTAAAAACAGCTTTAGAAAAAACACAGGCAAATGCTCACAGAATGTTCCTGTTATCTCCAAGCCTCTGCAGCAATAAAGTTAAATCCTATTTTTAGTTACTTTTCTCCTGCAAAGTGCTGCTACCTTCTTTCTTGATAGATGCCTCAGAACATTTTTGGTTTAACCAGTAATATAAATTCTGGAGTCCTTCCCTTGCCCTTTACAGCTTGTCTGGGCTCTGGCTAATTGGAGTCTGAGGGCGAAAGGCTCAGGGGTACGTCGGGCTGAAGGGATCGCGGGGAGTCACCTCCAGCCGTTTGCTGAGCTCTGGCTGGGGATGCTCTGCATACATTGCTCCTTGCCAGCTTCTCACAGCATTTACTCACACTGCTTCATCGTGCTCATGCTATCAGGACTCCTGTTCTTGCCCCAAAATGGAGTTATTGCCGAGCCAAAACCTAGGAGAAGTCAGTTTGGGCTGCTCGTAGCTCCGTTTCTGACACGTGATGAGCACTATGCCAGATTATGTGAGGGTGTTGGAAGGTAAAAACTCTCAGCACAGCACAAAAGTCCATTTTCTACTGCTTCTCCTACTGTCAGAGGGGCAACGTTAGGACTCTCCTCTTACATGCACTGAACTTTCTCACCTTTTAAAGACATCAAATTAAAAAACTCCAAAAACCAGACCAACACAAAACACAGTAATGTTGGGATGAGTTGTTTTGCATGTAAAAAAGTCAGCTTTTTAGTACAGGGTGAAACTGCCATTTCTGCATTGTTTCCTTATTTATTCATCACCCATTAACAGCATTTTAATTTACCAGTGCAATGGCAATGCCCGGTGCTACAGACCCCTCTTCTATCAGCTTTATGAAGGAACATCTGTTATTTTGGAGCAGCACCCTTTCCTTAACCCATCTTACAGAGACCCGGTACACTAAAATGTAGCACTGCAACAATCTTGCATTTTCTTATCTTTTGTATATATCACTGTATTTTTTACTGAATAAGAAAATGTTTTCAACTGCTAGAAGTTCTATTTTCTTTAATGCAAATTAATAAAATAACTCAATCCTACATGAAGTAGGTGTTTTTTGTACTTCATCCTGATGTTTCCAGTCTGCCTCATTTCTCCTATTTAGCTTTAATTCTTCATAAAAGCACACAGGGTGAAAGAAGGAGATGCCTTTAATGCAGCTTTCCTACTGTTAAATAGATATTAATCCCCCTTTCAAAAAACCAAAACAAACAAAACAAAAATTACTATTAAAGTGACAAAATGACAGCAACAAGTAGACAAAAATAAATGTTAGAGGCAACTCAGACCTATTGTCCACCACACGCCTTTCCTTCTGGTGTTCCCTTTAAAGGCTGTCGGGCTGAGGGCGAACCGTTCTTCACGGGTTTCCTTTCCCCCCCTGGTTTAAGAGGGTTTTACTTTCACCAGAAAATGTTTTTTGTAAAAAAAAACAACACCAAAGACACAAAAAACACAACCAAACTACCGTTCTATATCCAATGCAAATGTTGTGCGAGACTCTGAGAAGTGCCACCTTGGTTTTCGTTGTTCTGGGGTTTGAGCAGTTGTGCGTGGAACAGCTGCATCTCTGTGAGCCCAGGGCAGGTGGCCCTGGCCAGACACTTGCCACTCACAACCACAAAGCTGAAAAATCAGAGCAGTTCCTTGATAGTCTGATAATGTTCGTGAGTTCCAGTTTCTTCTCCTTTTACTTTTCTACAATGTAAAGTAAAAATCCAGTTCAAAACTGCAAGTAGCTTTCCCATGTTTGCGTTCGAGAAATAATCTTCACTGCCATAAAAAAATATTCACACCACTAAAAAAAAACAACACCTCCACGATTTCCTCTGCCCCCTGTACAAAGGCCAGTGGTTTTGCATCACCATCCATGACATCATTTGACTCTTTTAAGAGTAGTCTGGCTGCAGTTCTGGGTGTGGGGTCTGCTTAAATAGAGGTTCAATGTCTTTGGCTCTCCTCTTGCAATGGAAGGATTTTCCTCTCCAAAATAAGTCTAAAGTTCCATCCTTGCAATGCCGGGTCCTTAAGTCCCGTTGTCATTCCCGAGCTGCAGGGCCATGGTGGGCTTGGAAAAGGGCAAGGGGGGGCCTGAGAGTCTTTGAGTCAGCACATCAGCTCAGAAGGGATCCGCCACAGAAGGAGTAACGGCGAGCTGCAAACCAAGATCAGAAGCTGTTACAAACCGACCCGATTTCAGCTCTGAATGCCACCACGTCTAACGGGCAGAGAGCTACAGGGGAGAGCCAGGGGAAGAAGAGTGAAGGACAGCTCTAAAACCAGTATAGATCCTTGCTTTTATCCTGAGGCTGCAAACCTGAGAACGGAGAGAAGAAAAAAAAAAAAAAAAAAGTATTCCACACAATTTCATAAGTATTTTCCTTACTATCTTGTATTATCACACTATGTTTTGTAACAGATAAAGGAGAAATTGTCTAACGGGCAGAGAGCTACAGGGGAGAGCCAGGGGAAGAAGAGTGAAGGACAGCTCTAAAACCAGTATAGATCCTTGCTTTTATCCTGAGGCTGCAAACCTGAGAACGGAGAGAAGAAAAAAAAAAAAAAAAAAGGGAAGAAGAAAAATAGGTACAGGCGTTTAAGGACAGAGAAAGACAAAACTGCATTTCTGCCAGCTGAGATCAGAGAATCGGTCTAAAGCGTGGGCTCCCCAGAGGTGGCAAAAGGCCGAGAAGCAAGGAGAAGAGCCCAAGCAGACGTGCCTCCTAAGGGAGGCCACCGTAAGGAGCCATTTGTGGCTGCAATAACCCAACTTCAACATGGGGAACCGCCGTCAGAGCGGGCTGTCCTTGCCCCCACACCCACTGACTCAGAAGCCACCACTGCTGGCTATGCCCGTGTCACCTTTTGTCACTGCTGTGGCCACACAGCCTTACTTCCAGGCATGCCACCAGGCACAGGGCACCGCTACCAGGGGAAAAACTTTTCCCTTTTTGCTCAGCAAACGCAATTGTACTTTCCTTTCAAAAACTGGGAGGAAAACATAAACAAGGAGAGGAGGTAGTTCATGGACCTGCCTGGGGTGTAGAAATGACCTGCTCTGCTGTGGGCTGCCCACACTCCTGCCTTAGGGGCAGCCCGTGGAGGGAGCCAAGAGGTGACTTTTGGGGTGGCTCCCTCCTGCTCCCGGAGCTCTCAGAGGGCCAGGGCCGGGACAAGAGCACCCCACAGCAACCTGTGCCCTCGGGGCGCCAGAAACCCCAAGGCACGTTGGTTGACCTGTTGCCCTGTCCCATCCTCCTCTCTCCAGCCTGAGACCCCCAAGAAGAGCACCCAGGGCAGAGCTTGGTTGTCTCCCATGGGACACCCACCCCTCAATTTATTCCCTCACAGCAGCCTCCATCATGGCAGGGGGGGGGTGTCCTTCCCTCCTACTATGGGTGGTGTGAGGCAGGCCGGGGTGCAGCTGAGCTGGGGGAGGAGGGCAGCTCTTTACCTGCGTCCACGTTGAGGCCGAGGCTCTGTGCCATGTCCCCTGCCGCGTTGGGGAAGGGTCCCGGCGTGGTCCAGGCGGCAGCGGCGGCAGCGGCGCCTGCCTCGCTCTTGCCCAGTTCGCAGGGGGGGCTGACGGGTGTGGGGACGGAGGCCGGGGTGAGGCGGTGGGGGCGGACGGAGGCAGTGGGTACCAGGAGCGAGCTGTAGCGGGGGTCAAAGTGGGGGCCGTAGACCTCGTGCATGGCGGCGGGGCGGGGGTAGGGGTTGCTCTGCGTCCCGATGTAGGGGTGGTGGTGGTGGTGGTGGTGGTGGTGGTGGGCATGGTGCCAGGGCTCGGGGCCGCCCTGGTGCAGGTGGCCGTGCAGGGAGGCGGGCGCGTAGGGGTCGGCGGCGGCGGCGAAGGGCAGCTCGCTGTGGCCGGCAGCTGCCAGGGGGCTGCTGAGGGTGGCGGGGACCGAGGAAGGCTGGTACGTGCTGTTCCAGAAGGACGGCGGGAAGCTGCGCTGGCTCATGGGGAAGGAGCCATCTGGGCGAAGGGGGCGGGAGAGAAAGGCAGCAATGAGCACACCCAGCCAGCCCCGACCTCCTTTCCCTAAGGCTCTGCTCTCCCCCCTGTCCCCCACCCCGATCCCTCCAAACCATCCCTCTCATTCCCTCTATCCACCCACAAAACTGCCAAACACAAGAAACTGCTCCCAACTAGCACAGATTCCTCCCCAGCCAAACATCCCCCACACCTACCCAGGGGCTTATCCATGAAACTGGAACTATTTGCTCTCAGTTTCTCTTAGATAACAGCCTTTTCCCCAAATACATACTAAGGTGAGAGAAATGTCTCTTTTCCTCAGTAGAGGAAACTGAGCGAGAGCTATTATGCACCTCTGCTATTCCCAGGGTTGGCTTTTTCTTGTTTGTTTTTGTAGTAATCTCCCTGTCGAAACATTTACTCTCGACACCTCGGAGGATGCCTGACCCTGCCAGGCCAGGGGCTGCTGTCTCAGTGCGGTTTCAAAGCGGGCAGGAACAGTGTGAGATGCGACTAAGAGCCAGCTTGAATTTTCTAAATCTATGGAGGTGATTCCCCATCCATTACACTGGACTTAACGCCTGTTTCTTGCGTATGTCATTAACATATTTGGGAAGCACACTGCAGATTTTTGGAGATTGGCAGGGCGAAGGACAAGGACTGTACTTTTTTTTGGCCCAGTAAGCAACGTGCGAGATGGACTAGTGATTATTAATAGCACAGATAGATGTTATGCATTATTAATTGGGAATGCACACTGTTCCCGAGACAAATACAAACAACATGATCCTGATACGTGTTTGCCAGGGAGGTACGTCAGCTCTGCGGCCTAGTATTGCTCAGGACAAGCAGCTCACGATGAGCAAAGAACTCTCCTGCCATCAGTTCCAGCGCTGAATATCTTTCAGCCGTGAAATACTTAAACTACAATTTCATTTTTAGGAACTACTGACAGCAATTCATGGAGAGGCTTGGAAATCAGCTCTTGGCTGAGTGGGTGGCCCCATGAGGGACGGTCCCCAAAGCTACCCCGAAAGAGCTACCCCGAAAGAGCTACCCCAAAAGAGCTACCCCAAAAGCTACCCTAACTCCCCGGCAGGTGAAGGGTGAGGAAGGCTATTCCCCTCTGCCCTGGGTACCCCAGGGGGCCTGCTCAGGGAGAATTTGGCATGGCTGTGGAGAGCTGCGCATCGGTTGTGGCCTCAGCCTTGCGGGCACAGTGCCACCGCCATGGGCACGGCTGAAAGCCCTCGTTTTCAGAAATTTAGAGTCCTTGTCTCTGCTCCAGTAGCAACCAGGGTGGTGATAAGTGTAGGGCGAGATACAGGGGGGATACACAAGGTGTCTTTTAGCAGTGGGAGGCTGGTAAGATGCTTCTCCCTTTTGCTTTTTCCTTTGTTTCCATCTTCAATTACCACCGCACTGAACTTTAAGCAGTCCTGGCAGGGTGAGCAGGGGAGGTGTTTCACTGAATTTCACTGAATTATTAGAGTTGTAAGGGACGACAGAGATCATCTAGTCCAACTCCCCTGCTGAAGCAGGATTGCCTAGAGCTAGAGCATGTTACCCAGGACTGCATCCAGGCGGGTCTTGAAAATCTCCAAAGAAGGGGACTCCACAACCTCCCTGGGCAGCCTGTTCCAGGGCTCTGTCACCCTCACTGGGAAGAAGTTTTTCCTCATATTTGAGTGGAACCTCTTATGTTCCAACTTGTGCCCGTTGCCCCTTGTCCTCTCACTGGGAACTACTGAAAAGAGTCTGGCTCCCTCCTCCTTCAACCCTCCCTTGAGATACTTGTAGGCATTGATAAGGTCTCCCCTCAGCCTTCTCTTCTCCAGACTAAAGAGTCCCAGCCACTGTTTGCCACAGTGAGGGGGTCCCTGGGCAGCTTGTTTGGTTGTAGCCCCCACCGGGTGAATTGCCCGCACCGTAAAGGGGGTTCAGTTCCTGCCCAGGGAGAAGCTGCTGGGCTGGCTGAGAGCCCGGCTGAAGTGCTCGTCCACCACGGCGCTGATGTCCCCCTGGAAGTAGGTGAAGAGGACGCAGCGGGAGTTGATGTACTCGGCCTCCGGGGGTCGCTCCTTCTCGGGGCTGCAGTCCTCCTCCTTGATGCTGGCCGCGGGGTGGCTGGAGAAGGAGCTGCCGGCGCTGCTGCTGCTGCTGCCGCCGCTCTCCGGGGCTTCTTGCATTTTGGAGTAAAAGGCGAGTTTCTGGAGGAAAGGGGAGGGAAGGAGAAAAGGGGGAAAAAAAATAAAAATTAAAATAAAAAATAGAGCCGGCCGCGCAGCGCAGCGGGATGCCGGCCAGGATGCAGAGCCGAGCCCCCTCCCGCGATCTTCCCGAGAGGATGCACAAAGTCCGGTCCCCGGCCGCCCGCCGTCCCCCCCGGCCCCTCGCTGCAACCCTGTCCCGCCCCGCGGGGGCGGCGGGGGGGCTGCAAACAGAGCTGCGGGACCGACCCCCCGGGATGGAGAGAGCCACAGCCTCCGTGCGGGACGGGCGCGGGGGGCGGCAGGTTACACCCGCGGGTTCCCCAGCCCCAAGTCCCGCACAAGAAGGCACTTTGCAGCCGGATCCTGGGGGGGGGACACGGGACACTGTGCCCGCCAAGGGGCTAAATTGAGGGGGGACGAGCCGGAGGGGGGTGCGGGGGTGTGTGTGGAGGGGGTCTGCTGTCGGTCACCCCCCACGCAGCGCCTGCAGCGGGGGGAAGATAAATGTCGCTCGGTCCCCGGCTTGCAAAATTTGCCCCCCACAAACTGTCCTGTAACCCGCAGCGGCGAGGAGGAAGAAGGGGGAAAAAGAAAAACCAAAACAACAGAGTGTCAGCCTCAAACACACTTCACGGTAAAAAAAAAAAAAAAAAAAAAAAAAAAAAAAAAAAAAAAAAA